ATATATGTAAGTCTATGTAACCCAGAGAAAATCCAAATGTTACATTTATTAATGAGTCCTAAAGAAGGTACAGTTTGAGTAGCTGCTCTAGAATTGTTTATTCATACCTAAGACAAAGAGGGGTGATGTTGACTGGAGACTGCTCTTAGCTTGAGAGCCCTCAGGAAGACAGGACAGATGTGAGGAGGAATCTGTTTGGAGAATAAGATTCACCAAGTCCATAGTCTTTGATTTGGGTATACTCAACTTTTCTGAGGAAAAATTGATTAATTTTGTCACACTAACATGTATGAGTTAGAGATGTTTATGCTGTAAAGATTGGAAAGTTTGGTTTGCTGTGATTTAAGCAAACCTTCTTCATACTGTCACAGATTAGCTGCCAAAACCTCAAGCATCATCCAAAGATGGATGGGAGAGAGAGAGAGAGAGAGAGAGAGAGAGAGAGCAAACCAAACTGGGAACCTCACAGCAGCTCAGTTTGAAGCATCTTCCAAGGGACTTTAGTCTAACTGGCAGAAACTGAGTCATGAGCTGGACAAGACCAGAAAAGAAAAAGTTAACATTTGGATTTTGCTGAAAAAGAAAACAGGAGGGGTGAAGAATTGCTATGAAGTAAGCAGTAAATTACCACACAATGTTTCCTCTACTGGAGTTCACCAGGGTGGGCATGATTCCAGACACAGGGTCATTTTATGAGAATGACTCAGAATAAGTCAGCAGGCATTAAATTAAGTGGATTAAACAGAGACATGAGCACTACCCATGCTAGTCTCAATCATCACCTAAGAGTACCTTGATAACTAAAAATGTGACCTATAAGTGCATCCATTTAGGCATTTTTAATTGTAAGTCAAAGAAAATTAAACTCTAATTGGCTTAGATTCTAAACGGAATGAACTGGCTCTTGCTTTAAACAGTTCTGTGGTAGTACAGCTGCATGTTTACCTTGGTAAGAGTTCCAACTCCATTTCTTTGTGATTCTTTCAGCTCTGCCTTCTTCCATGTATTGATCTTATGCACAGGCAAAGGGATAAGCTATAAATTTCACATGTGCGTATTATGCCATCCACAACAAGAGAAGAAATCCATGCCCCAGAATTTCTGGACTTGTCAAAAGGTACTCAATTGGACTTACTTATGACACATGACTTTCTCTGAACTAATCACCAGTTGAAAGAATTGATTTGTCATCATTTAAAACTGTATTCCTTCCAAGAAATATATCAATGGCTCAGGGATCTCATGAGTTCCCAGTGGAATCCAGGTACTACTGAAAAGAAGACACAGGGCAGTTAGCAGTTGTGAACCACAGTGAGCTGTCCTAAATGCCATTCTTATCACTAAAAGACACAGGAGCCCACATGCAGACAGTGCATAACAGGGAACTCATAGGGATCAGTCACTGAGCTACTTCAGTTTTCTCTGTCCTCTGTCCTCATAGAGATATTCAAGGCATAAAGCAATTTGAGCTACCTTACAGGTTTTATTTCAGAGGGCCCAGGATTAGCTGTCTCTTTAATTCAGTTTGCAGCTTTTTCTGGAAAACTCGTTTCTATGTAGTGCTGTGTCGTTCTATCTCAGATTCCCTCTCAAGCTTTTAATTTCCTGCCTTACAGACTACAGTCTGAGCTCTCCAAGCATGAATATCCTATTTTGTTCCACTTGGTTAAGCACCTTTTGTGATGCTCAATGCATTTATATAGGGATGGAGAGGGCAGCTAAGAATCCCGGAGAACATTTGAAATACAAACAGTTCCTACCACTAGTGGTTTGACTTACAATTTTTCATCATCATGATGGTGTGAAAGTAATGCACATTCTATGGAAACCACACTTCAAATTTTGAATTCTAATCTTGTTCCAGGTTAGCTGTCTGAGGTACAATACTCCCACATGGTGCTGGGCAGCCTCAGGAAGCACAGCTCCTGCTCAGTCACATCTCCCCACGGGGAAACATACTGTGCTGGCATTGTGCTTTAAGTATGGTTTGGGCAGGCTGCTTGTAGTAAATGCATTTTCAACTTATAACACTTTCAGTTCTGATAGGTTTATTGAGACATTAGCCTTCCATTAGTTGAGGAGCATCTATACTAAACACAGAAGATGTGGGTCCCAGTATGGTTAATAGAAAAGCTTCAAAGAATCAGAAATGTGAACACCAGGAAAAGGAGCTCACCTGAACCTCCCTGAGGATTTAGAAAAGGCAGTTAATGATTGCTGAAAGTGAGATATT